GTCGTTTAGCCATGTGTGAATATAATGATTTATTCAAAAAAAAAACTATAAATAAATTTTGTTTTACGGATTTTATTTTATATTCTCCATTAAAATTTATCAAATCTATGACAACCAACAAATGCATTTAGTTTATACATTAATGCATTCATAAATCTTGTTTAAGTCATATAAGAATAAGCCAATCAAAAGAGATGTGTTATAAGTATTATTTTTTACTTATTAAACTCTCTTTAATTAATACATCATGCGTTTTTTTACGAAATTAGCTGCTACAACTGTTGGTGTTTTATGTACAACAACATCAGCTTATTTTCTTGTTGATGAAAAAAAACGATATGGTGTATTATTTGCAGCAAATATTGTTCAAACACCAAATAATAATAGTAATAATTTAATTCAATCAGATCAACAATTACTTTCATCTCCAATACGATCTAGTGAACGATGGAATTGGAATTGGGATGGGTTGGTTTAGATTTTAGTTTTGTTTTCTTTTATTTCATTATTATTTTTTTTTTGTAGTCGCCATTCTGAAATGAATAAAACACGAGGTGTACGACATATTTACCTTATTCGACATGGCCAATATCAAACAAAAACAAAATTTGAAGATGAAAAACAATTAACGGAATTAGGTTTGTACTAAAAAAACAAGAAATCGATAAAATTTTATAAATGATTTATATTGAATATTAAGGTAATGAACAAGCTGATTGGGCTGGTCGAGCATTAGCAGAATCAGGAATTTCATTTACTCGACTTGTACAATCAGGTTTAATTCGTGCTATTCAAACAGCAACAACCATTAATAAATATGTGAGATTAAATAAAGTTGAACAAGATATTGATCTTAATGAAGGGTAATAGTTAAATAATAATAAATATATTTTATTTTTTTGTTAATCTAATAGATTTCCATTTCTTCCAGAACCAGCTGGAAGATTTATTGATGATATTGCTAAAGTAGGATAAAAAGAAATTTTTCTTTTTATATATAATAAATTAATATTTAATACAAGGGCCGTCTTGAATTAGAAACTGAACGAATGGAAAGAGTTTTTCATCGTTATATTCATCGACCATTTCCAATTCAAGCAGAAGATTCTCATGAACTTATTGTATGTCATGCCAATGTTATTCGTTATTTTGTTTGTCGGTAGGAATTTTTTTGTTTTTTCAATAAAAGTTTCTTTCTCCTAACTTTTTTTTTTTTGTTTATTACAGTGCGTTACAAATACCAGCTGATGCTTGGCTTCGTTTTAATCTTTTTCATTGTTCTATTACTCATCTTGTTTGTACATCCGATGGTCGTGTTATTTGTTATGGTATTGGTGATGTTGGACATATTCCACAAGAACGACGCTCGTATGTTTAAGTCTTTCAAAAACCAAAAAAAAAAAAAACAAAGAAAACTAAAGGAATGATTTTACTAACATTCATTCCAGTTTAAGACGACCCAGTAGAGAACAACAACGAAAAACTATGGCAATAGCTGCATAATAGACTTTATGAAATTTATGCGTACAAGTATGTTTACTGTTTGTTTGTCTCCGATTGATTGTATGCTTGAATATACTAATGTGCTGTTATCCTATTGTGATAAGCAATATATATACATCGTTAACATTTTAAAAACAAAAAAAAAAAAAGAAAATAATTTGTTTAACTTTTATTCTGTTTTTTTTTTCAGATAAATCTATTCTACATTGAGAACAAAAAAGAAAAAGCAATTCAATATTAATCTGAAAAAAAAAAGTCTTTACAAAATAATATATTTTATTTGATGAAATGATATTTTGAAGATGTTTGATGTAATATTGTTTGCTTGTTTATAAAATAAAATTAATCAAGAAAATTTTTTGTCATAATTATTAAGAAAGAATGTATTTACTTCTCTTTTTGTTTTACTGGTTTACTGTATCATGAATATAATGGTTTAAACGAAAAAGGGATTAGGAAAATAGAAAAAGAAAAGTTATAGCAAAACTAGTAACACATACTTTTAGCATATAGAAAAGAGAGACAGCGACTAGCACTTTCTTGAGTCATCCCTAGATCCAAGCAGGTTCTAGTTATTCTGCTTGAATTATATTTTAACTGATATAATTTATAAGATAGTTCGTTTAAGACTATAGAATATTTAATTATAAACTTGAGTTCTGATTTAAACAAACTGTTTTCTCATAGTTTTGATAATGTCTTTTTGCCATGACTCTAGAACTGCAACAAAAATTGATCCTACATGTGTCTAATTTCAAACATATTCATTCATTTATTACTAGCACGAAAGAGAAAATTATGTACACTTATATGTAGTTCAGTTTATACTGCATATTTCAATTAGAAATTTTTATTAAAATTTAATATGAAGTGAGTAATTTACGCATGAATATTTTAGCATTCTTTGAACTGTTTTATTTTATAGGTGTTCCGAAGTCTGCCTTTCTAGAAATTATTTATCTCTCATGTTTTCCAAGTAACTTAATAGTGAGACCTATACCCATTAATAGAATACTGATAGATCCTCGTTTGAATCAATGTCGTAGATGAATACATATCCTTAATAATATACTATCAAAATTAAAGACCAAAGATAATGAGAAAATCAGGTGATTGATTGATGCATCGAAGTAAATGTGATCTTCGATATAAATTAAATATGCGAATAAAGTATAATTTTTGTCAAAAATCTTCTTGAAGTTATATAGTTGGAATTATCTTAGAAATTATGCTAATTTACATTTGATGGTTTCAATCCTTAATCAGAAAATCAAGGAGTCCAACATTATCGGACGCAGTCAAATACATCGTTTATGATCATTGTAGCCAAATCTCTTTTTTTTTTTTGAATGAAGACTTTTAGACTTATGATGATTTCTTCTATTGATCTTTTGAGATTGATTGAACAAATTGAGATGATTGGTAAAAATTATGATTTGAACTAAATAATGTAGACACTCTGGTTTCAACGATTTATTTGTATGTAAATAAATCTATAGGCATAGAAGAAAATGGAAAAAAAAGTTAAAAACTGAAAAAGGAACAACTAAATGGAGTGGAACAAAATTTGAAGGGATGGAAGAGAGAGAGAGCTCTTGACTTGAATCATATGCCCTAATCAAGAGAGGATGAGTTCAATTAGCATGAAGGTTGACTAGAATATGTGATAAATTTTCATTTGAAGTAATGTCGTTGTAATTTTTTGCTCTTGCAATTGCTATATAGACACTCTAAAAGTTTACTTTTCAGAATAATTCTAATATTTAAATGACTGATGGAGATCTTGTTTAATATTGTATTGATTTTTGACCTATTTTTCATACTAAATTAAGGTTAGTAATATCAGTCGAGATAAAAAAAAACGATATTCTAAAAGGTTGTATTTTCGTTTCTCACACATCTACATGTTACTCAGTTATGAAGACCAAAAACAAAAAAAAGAGACGAAGGAAAAACATGAGTCATGCTTTTTCAGTTATACAATAAAAGTGAAAATGAAAATTTATTGATAATTTGAAGCGTATTTATGTAAAATTGTCTCACCATAGATAAATATCAACTATCGTTAAATTAACTTTATCGTAACTTATATTTCTACTGACATACACTATCCTAGAGCTTGATTGTATTTTCTACATCTGTTAATCATGAATTATGACTGCTCTGTGAGTGATGCAACTATTTTTTAACTTTTCATCAGTCAAGATGTATGTGTACTCCGCAGCGCGTCCTTTTTTGCTGTGAATCATGTTGATACTAATACAGAAAGAAACGCAAAAGTACGTCTTGCCAAGTAAAGATTGCCATTCTCACTACAACATATGTAACCACAGATGCCTTGTCGTAGCCTTAGTCGTAGACGTAGACGTAAAAAAATGACAGTAGCGACTGCTAATAGACAGAATCATGAAGAAGTAAAAAGGTTCCCAAGTAAATACGTTCGATCCTCAAACGTATAAAAACGCCATGCATTTTGAAGTTAGTGCATATTTCTACTACTTGCAAACGAATCCTATCCAATACTTGGTCTATTTCTCTTTTCACAAAGCCTAAGGTATATTATCTATTGCTCATATAAGACTTATGAACTACATATTTGATTTCTCTTGTGAAGACATGAATAACCATATGGACATAGTCAACTGCATCAGAAATTATATTCATCAAGCTTGTACTAGTGACGTGAACGGGCTTGTCCGCTTGAATTTGATCGAGGTTATTGAATCAATACCAACAATCTTAACAGATCTGCATGAATGGATGTTCAATTTGGAAAGTGTTGCAGTACAGCCACATGAAGTATACAATTTTAGTCATATGTCGAACATTCATGTGATGATTCTTGATTAGTACATTAAGTTTTTTCTTTTTGCAGTTAAAATATATTGTTCATAAATCTATATAATACCAATATGTACTAATGACCACCGAACAATAAATAAATCTTTACTTACAGAACACTTTATTTTCTAAGACGAATCTATTTTGGGTTTACGTATAACATCGAAAATAGCGATTGTATCTTGTCATTTAATTTTGAAATGCGAAATTCTTGAAAACATTGACGGTGTGGTTTTGTGTTTCGATGTTGGTGAGGACATGAGTAGGATCTGGGTAGAATGTGGCTGAAGATCGGCTCTCATACCCACACTCCAAATCAACACCCACTTGTATTCAATAGAACAAAAAGAAATTCTAAATTGTCGTGGTATTATCATTGAAGATTGAACCTCAAAATCTACTTCAGCTTTTCAAGAGCACAGCGCCCTCTATGAATATTTCACCCATGATGATTTCTCATTGGTTGTAAAAGTATTGCTTCTTCTAGAAGAATACTCACCGAGACAGACAGATACACATAAACAAACTAACTTGCGTAAATATTTCATTTGTACAAATTTCATCGCAAACCTCATTTGATGAAAAATACTGATTACTATTATCATTAATATTACACAGAAAGACATAGTAAGTTTCATTTATTTTATTCATTGCAGATGGATGCAGAAACATCAACTAAGCATGAAAAAGAACGATTGAATTCTATTCCAAAAGGTAAACCTAAAAGTGGTCGAACTTGGAAGATGAATAAAGGAAGGTAAAATAAATTAAATGAAAATTTAACTTTTATGAAAAAAAAAAATCTTTTCCAATTAGATTTTCTGCTATTTCTCGACCAAAATCTATCAAAGTTTCATATGAAGAACGTAAAAAAATGAAAACTGATTTAAATGAAACTCGTACTCGTGAAAAACAAATGTGGGATGTTGTTAACGAAAAACGTGATGTAAAAAAAATAAAATCTTTTTGTTTATATCTTAATCATTTTTTAATATAGAAATTAAAACAACGACAAAAAGAAAACAAAGAACGTCGACTTATTAATGAACGTAAAGGTGAAGTTGTTCAAGTTGTACGTAGAATTTCTTTATTCTTATTAATTTCACAGCAAAAAAATGTTTTGTTTTTTCTTCAATTTCAGATTAAAAATCCGGCTAAAATAAAACGAATGAAAAAGAAACAATTACGTTCTATACAAAAACGTGATCTTGATAAATTAAAAACGAAAAAAACTTAATTAATTCATTGTTATTCTTGTTTTGGTTAGTTTCTTTTCTTTTTTCTTTTTCGTTTTCAGATAAATAAATAAATAATCATGTATAACGGTATTGGTATAACAACACCACGTGGTACAGGTACAAATGGTTATGTTCAACGAAATTTATCATTTGTTCCAACAAAACGTGAACGTGTTGAATATGTTAAAGATGCTGATATGAAAAAACTTGAAACTTTAATTGAAAAAAAAGGTAATTCAGAAATTCTTGAACATGATAAAAAACGTCGTATTGAAGTCAAATGTATGGAAATGCGTGATATGATGTTAAACAATGGGTTAGTTTTTTTTTTGTTTCTTATTAAATAAAATAATTAATTTGTTGTTTTTTTTCATTAAAGATATGATGAAGATGTAACAAATCAAAAAGTACAAAAATTTCGTAAAATGCTTATTGAACGTGAAGGTCTTTATGACAAAACTGAAATTGAATATGATGAACACGGACGTCCTGTGTAAGTTGAACAATTTAAGAAGAAAAAAAAATACGCTTTTTGACTTCATACGGAGAACTTTGACAAGATCATAAAAATCCTGAAATGGCTCATGTCCATAGACTTCCGAAGCCGAGTTATGACCGTTTTACTAAATTTTCGATCTAGAATTTTATCGATAAAAAAAAAGTCGAATATTTTGAAAGTTGTTTAATTAACAAGATATTGAATTTCTAAAAAATGGTTATTTGCCATAAAATCGAATTTGCTTGAATATTCAATATTTTGACTATGTAACATTTTTCTCAGCTAAAACTTTCAGGATATTCAACTTGTTTATGAGCGGAATTTTCCAATCAAAATACAGTTATTTAATGAATTAGAATGTAGTCGAAAAATATTTCAAACTACGCAAATCTAACATATTAGAAACAATTACTACTTGAGCAAGCATTCTTAAAGCCAGAGTTTTCTAAATTCATCGCTATTTATTTGTTCTAATAAGAATTCACTATGAATTGAATCTGATGACGCAATCTCTGCGGAGTTAAAATCGAAAACATGATGTAGTTGCTGTTGCTAGTCCTAGAAAGATTATTTTATTTTAAGAGATATTTTATCAGTATCCTCTTACTTTATCTTCGAGAAATGCAACAAGGAAATGTCTCATGTATTATAACGAGACATTATTACTACAGTCGAGTCCACTTATAAGAGCTCCGGATAAAGGAGCGGTCCACTTGTAAGAGCCGTTTTCCAATTTCCCATTTTTTTCTCCTATGTTTTATGTACTGGCAAAGTCCGCTTATAAGAGCTTTGTTTTGGCGCTTTTTTACGATTTGAGTCCGCATAAAAGAGCCATATTGTATGTTCTTGTTCTTTTCTTTTTCTATTCATCTGTTGCACATATGCTCTTTTTCGTCTTACTCACTTTTCCTAACTGACATCTTTGTCGAGTAAGAAGAACCATTGTCTTTTTCTGTCTATTATTCATTTTCTAAACAGTTGGACGAAGCTTCTCGACTTTTTCTCTAGTCCATCTATTGTCTCTCTCCTATGTATATATAATTGCTGTTTCTTCAATAAAGGGATCAGATATTCATCCATCCAAAAGGCAATATATATTTTTGAAGAAGAAGCCGGAACTGTTGATAAGCCGATGCCAGGTGTCTCTCGTAAAGATGTGCTGATGCATCTTTCAATGGTTCGCAAGTATTTGGAAGAGAATTTTACAGAGTATTATTCATATTATGATATCGAACACATGATCGAAATGAACGCTTTAATTAATCGTACTCAAAGTAAAATCACGGATTTCTTCAAGTAAATTTATGTATGCCTATGTCCTACTTAATAAATGTTGACAGGAATCAATTTTTGCACTGTTTTAAATATAGTTCGGATAAAGGAGCGGTCCGCATATAAGAGCCTCTTTTAGAGGTTCCGACCGCGCTCTTATAAGCGGACTCAACTGTATACAGTCTTTGATCGCATCTCAACAACGTCTATAAACATGAGTCCACATTTCTACCCCTATATTTCAACACTGTTTTTAGGATTGTGTTTTGCAATAGCATATGATCATTGAAGACAGTGCATTAGTCTTCTCAAAATGATATGGTAGAAATAGGATAGATCATCACGTTATTTTTGTGTAATAAATGAAAATAATACAAATAACCATGTATATAGAGGTAGAACATAAGATTGAAAGAAAACTCTTCTCATTGTTGTGGATGTAGTGTCTAGTATTCGAAATGAATGTCCGATTGCAATTCTCTGTCGAATCCTCATCATTGCACTCCAACTAATCTAGGGGTTAAACAGTATTCAAAATCTTTGAATTTGTTTAGTCAGTTTATTTTTTCTTTGCCTTTCCGTGAAACTTCGAATCACAATCAGTGATGAGTAGTGTAGGTGTAGACCGTGATCGTTGAGGACCTTTTTGTGAAATAGAAAACTATGTAGATATTGTTTTTTATTTTGATTTTAATAAAAGCTCATCGATTTCTAAGTTAAGCTTTCTATTTCTGATAAAATTAATTAAATATTTTAGTGCCAAAGAAACTCATCAGTTAGCTCAAGCCAATGATGAAAAAAATCGAAAATTACGTGAAGCATTTGGTATTGGTGAATTCGATAAAAAGAAGATAGCTGAAAAAAAAACTGAAGAAGCTAAAGAAGCTGAGCGACGTAAAGCTGAATTGGTTAATAAACAATATATGTAAGCAAAAAAAAAAAGATTGTTCATTTTCTATCGAATTTTATTTTTCTGTGTTGTTTTTTAAATAGAATTGTACAAGAAGAAGAAGAAGAAGAAGAAGAACAAAAACAAGAACCAGAAGTTGAAAAACAAGAGCAACCAAAAAAAGATAAAGATAAAAAGAAAGATAAAGAAGATCGTCATCGTCATAAATCTTACGATGAAAAAAAACGTAAATCATCACCAGAAACTACTAAAGAACGTAGTAGTCATAAACAGTAAATTGAATTTATTGATAAAATTCTTTTGTTTTTCTATTTTGTTTGTTTTTTGTTTAATTAGTTCAAAAAAACATCGAAAAGAACACAGTGATGATGAAGAATCACGACATCATCGACGCCGTGAACAATCACCATAAAATGAAATAACTATTTATTTTTTCCTTCTATGTACAAATTGTCATCGTTTTGTCTACTTATATTAATTAACTGTTTATGTCGACGCGAAGATTTGTTATTGTCTTTTCTGCTTTATTAAATGTAATATCATATTCTTGTTTCATGATATCAAGTCTTTTATTATTCGATTGAAAACAATCGATAAACTGGAATAACGTTAAGATATTCATACGTAATGATGAATGAAAATATAACTTCAAATAAAATCTTTCGTTTTATTGTATTTCCGTTTTCAATATACTTAGAGTATCGATATTTTTAAACAAAAGTTCTATCTAACTGACACTTTCCGTTGAAACTCATATTTTATGCTATTGTCGTCTCATTTGAAGGAAAAAAGTTTAACAAACATCTAGATAAATAGCATTGTGAATGCTTTATTATGTACATAGTTTACTCATTATAGAAATATTCACTATGTTTAAGTTGCTGTTCTGTAAATAGATAACAGAAAGGCAGAGAGATTTCTCTAATCATTTTTTTTTTACTTACACTGATAATACTCTTGTGCATGCTCAAATATTTTAATAACAAGTCATCAAAACTTTGGCATGCACTGAACCTGAACTCTGACTTGGTGTTCGAGTTCGGAAACTGTGCAACCAGTTCAGACAGTGTCAAGTATTTGGATAATTATCCAAGTGTTTCTTGAGGTATATAGGAAGCATCCTAGAGTTCAGATTCAAGTATTTCTGAACATGATTAACTCTTTTTAAGGATGTATGTAGACAGTCATTTTTTTTTGGATCATTCATTCCACGGTATGTAGATCCACTATACACAGGCCTGAAATTCTTCTTTTTTTTGGTTTACTTCTATTTCCTTTTTATTAATTGACTGAAAATGATCACGATCAAGATCGAATCGGAACGTTCGATTTTAGTGCATACTTATCACATATACAACGGATTTATCAAATAAATTTCGATGTATCTTGAATCTTATCTATAATATGAGTCAAATAGACGATTAACTCAGAACATCAGTTAGATAGATTTTCTTCATGATTTATAATTTACATAAAGAGTTAAGGTAATTCAATTATTCTTTTCTTATCGACTGAAAATATTCATCTTTTGAAATTGAACTTATCCTTATTGATACAAATCCAACGATATTTTCTCAATATAATTTAAATCAATGATGAACAACCGTTATACGTTTTGTTTTCTTTCCTATGAATAATATTTACTTCGGCGAAGTTTTATTTTATTTTTTTTCTTTGTAAGAGTAACATTCTCATTTATATTCTATTTTATTGTTCAATCGATTACAATTTCAGATGACATTAGTTCAATCACAAAATCAATCGAATCTCAATGATTCACTATCAACAACCATGACACAAAGTATAAGTCAAAAACATGCTCATGGTGCTATTGTACGAATACATTTAGAAAATTTCATGTAAAAAAAAAAACTTTATTTCATAATGATGTTATTTTTTAATCATTATTATGTTTAGGACATATAAAGAAGTTGAACTTTATCCTGGAGCACGTCTTAATGTTATTATTGGACCGAATGGTAGTGGGTATGTTGAAAAAAACAATCACTATCTTTTTCAAATAAATACAATATTTTGTTTATTAAAGAAAATCATCTATTGTATGTGCTATTTGTCTTGGTCTAGCTGGTCATCCACGTGTTATTGGTCGAGCCGGTAATATTGGTGATTATGTTAAAACAGGTCATGAAAAAGGCATGATTGAAATTGAATTGTAAGTTAAACGAAATTGCAAATTGGATCTACATTTTTTTTTCTTTTTCAAAACAAAAAAGATTTAATGCTGAGAAAGGTTCAAATTGGATTATAAATCGAACACTTCATGTACATAGTGCCAGTAAATGGACACTTAATGGAAA